GGTCTGCCATGTTTTGTTCTTTGTGTTGTGTTTCTGTGTGTGCTTTTTCCTGCAGGGAGATAAGAGGAGGTGAATCGCGTGTCCTTCTAGCTGCCTTCTGTTAAACTTGGAGTACCGCACTTCAAGCAACTGAACAGATGGATAATGGAGACTGGGGATATATGGTGAGTGAGCCCGTGGAGGTGTGCGCTCAGCCGTGCAACTGGGTGTTCAGGATCTCGTGGTGAGAATCCTTCCAGATCTGTCTGGTGTGGATCCAGAGCTCCAGGCACATGAGAGGGAAAGCTGCGTTACAACAGCGCTTACGTTCTCTGGAGCGCTTGGCCCCGTGTGCTGCTTGTGGGGAGAGCTCACATTCCCATTCCCTAGGTACAGTGAGTGCTTAACTGATGCCTTGAACTCACTGTTACCGTGTTCCTACCACACAAAGGTTGAAAACAGTTTGTGCTCCCTGGATGTAATTTTAAGGACTTTGTCATTTGATGTATAAAGAGCAATAGTTTTCCTTGTCAACCCTGTTTCAAACTAGACAAATGCATCTTGTTTTTCTCCTCGTTCTCTAAACATTCAGCTGCCATGCATATGTCTCTTTTCTCTGGCTGGCCTCGGTCCTGGTTGTTCGGGTTGGTGGCCAGATGGGATTTATGTTCCTTTCTCTCTTGCTTCTTCCTCGTGTGCTATCTGGAAGCTGATGCAGACTGGTTTGTGCTCTGCCCCCACCTCCTTCTGTACAGCGTGCTAATTTGCTAACAAATATTTCTTTTTAGAGGGAAAAGCTGAAAGTTCTTTTTTGTTTGCTTGTTTTAATGATGATTCTTGACCAGTGCATGGATTATCTTGATTTTAGCTCTTGGTCCTTTGTCTAAACTTGCACTGTCATCCTCTTTGGAGGGAGAGAGAGAGGCTTAAGACTTGTTCAGCTGATTTTCTTTTCTTTCTTTCTTTCTTTTTATTTGTTGTTTTTGTTCTGGAATGAGAGACAGATTGTGAAAGTAAGGAGCACTGATGGGCCTTGTTCAGACTAACTTGTTCTTCAGGAAATCTCTCTCTCCTCATTTCCCCATCTGTAGAATAGGAAAAAAACCCCTTGTTGCCCAAATGCAAAACTTACTTCTGTGGCAGTAGCTCAGTTGTTAAGATTTCTAAAGCCTTCTGGAAATGTGCTTTCTGAATGTTAAGTATCATCCTGCCTGGTTGCCAGTTGTGCCTTGTTGCTAGGTGGCTTGGGTTTGTTCGGGTTTAAACACCACTCAAAGGCCTCGATTCACTCCAGAGCCTGTGGTTTTCACCCAGCGTTTGCCGTGCGTGTCGGCGAGGCAATGGGATCTTCTCGCGGTGGCTTGATAAACTCTGCCATTTCTCTCTTTCTAGATGACTGATCCAGTCACGCTAAATGTGGGTGGACACATGTATACGACATCCCTCACAACTCTAACGAGATATCCTGACTCAATGCTCGGGGCCATGTTCAGGGGAGACTTCCCCACCGCCAGGGACTCTCAGGGCAATTACTTTATTGACAGAGATGGACCACTTTTCCGTTATGTTCTTAACTTTTTAAGGACCTCAGAGCTCACTTTGCCACTGGACTTCAAGGAGTTCGACCTGCTGCGGAAGGAGGCGGACTTCTATCAGATTGAGCCGCTAATTCAGTGTCTTAATGACCCCAAGCCGCTGTATCCCGTGGATACCTTTGAGGAGGTGGTGGAGCTGTCCAGCACCCGCAAGCTTTCCAAGTACTCCAACCCGGTGGCCGTCATCATCACGCAGCTCACCATCACCACGAAAGTCCATTCGTTACTGGAAGGCATTTCGAACCACTTCACAAAGTGGAACAAGCACATGATGGACACCAGGGACTGCCAGGTGTCCTTCACTTTTGGGCCATGCGATTACCACCAGGAAGTGTCCCTCCGAGTCCATCTGATGGAGTACATCACAAAGCAAGGCTTCACGATCAGGAACACCAGGGTTCATCATATGAGCGAGCGCGCCAATGAAAACACAGTGGAGCACAACTGGACTTTCTGCAGAGTGGCACGGAAAACAGATGACTGATTCTGGCTCCGCAGGAGCCACTTCAGTGCCCTAATTGGACAGCAAACCCCAGAGAGTCTGGATTTTGACTAAAGCAACAACGTGGGCTTTTTTCTTTTTTATACGACTATTTATTGTTTATCATAAGGACTGGAGGAGTTTCGTTCTCCTGCAGCTCTGTCCTTTTGTCCTGTTCAGAAAAGAAACAAACCGTGCATGTGCCTGTTCAGTCAAGACACCTTTTTATTTGAAAGGGGGAGTCCGAAGAATTAGTACAATAGGGTATTTTGTGTCATTAACACAATTCTCTGACGCAACTTAAAGTGCTAAAATTACCTCCGTTTCAATGGTTTCTAATCCGTCTAATGCTATGACACTGGGAGCAAGAAACAAAAAGAATTTAAGATGCAGTTGGGGAAAAGCTGCTATCGTGTAGACTAATTTAGCGTCTAAATCAATAAACAGTATTGTAATATTCTAGAAAAAAAAAATCCCACCCTTTAAAAGTACTTGATAAGTACACTCTCTTACAGTTATGACAACTGTTTCTTTCTATGCATATAAATCAAGCAACCAAATATTATCTGTAGCCATGGAAATATGATTAGAAATATTTATATTGGATTCTAAATGCAAAATGTCCCTGTGGTAGAATTCATATTTTTAATGCCTGGTGCAATATTATTCCCAAGTGTAATGCCTGCCAGCAAGAAGCTAATAAAAATGTGAGATAGAGAATGCTATTTTGTAGTTTCTTTTTGTCTTCTAGAACTCTAATACTTAAAAAAACCCCAAAATTAACCAAAAAAACCCCACCTAAACCCTGTTTTTCCGTGCTGCAGAGTAGTTCGGATGCTCTGGTAAGGCTCCATTCTCCTCCATTACTGATGTACTTTATTCCTTTTTATATTAATCAGTTGATCAACTGTCCTCGTTATAGAAAAAGCTTGTGTTTTGAGAACTGCATGATGACTGACAGTGATGGTGAGTGTTCGTACCGGCTACAGGGATGGTGACGGAGGGAACACAGAGCCCAGGTACTTGTATCTGCTAAGTAGTGTCACCTGGTTTGTCAGTGATTTCTCTAATGACTTCATAATGTATGTGTATGTAATTTTAACTGCAGAGCGCTGTTTCTGATGCTGCTCAAGTTCTGTGGTTTTACTCAGTTTCGTAAGCCTGCTTATCTTGGGGACTTTATTACAGTTACTGATAGAATTCCTGGTTATGCTGTACCTTGGATGCTGTTGGGAGTAAGGGTTGATTCCTGTTTTGATGAATGGATCATCTCCCATCAAATTCTTGTCACAACTGTTCCTCACCACAACTGCTTTGCTCCCAGGGCTGTGCAGACCACAGCTTTTTGGGGATGTAAGAGGGAGTCTGGATTTCTGCTGGTCCTTGAAGGTGGGAGCCTTCCATCCCCCTCTGCTCTGCCCTGGTGAGACCACATCTGGAATATTGTGTTCAGTTCTGGGCCCCGCAGTTCAAGGACAGGAACTGCTTGAAAGAGTCCAGTGCAGGGCCACAAAGATGATGGAGGGAGTGGAGCATCTCCTGCTGAGGAGCGGCTGAGGGAGCTGGGGCTCTTTAGCTTGGAGCAGAGGAGACTGAGGGGTGCCCTCATTCATGTTTATAAATTTGTAAAGGGCGAGTGTCAGGAGGAAGGAGCCAGGCTCTGCTCTGGGATGTCCAATGACAGGACAAGGGGCAATGGTCCCAAGCTGGAGCACAGGAGATTCAAGCTGAACATGAGGAAAAACTTTGTCAGTGTGAGGGTGCCAGAGCATGGCCCAGGCTGCCCAGAGAGGTTGTGGAGTCTCCTTCTCTGCAGACATTCAAAACCCACCTGGCCGTGTTCCTGTGTGACCTGGTCTGGTGATCCTGCTCTGGCAGGGGTTGGACTGGATGAGCTTTCGAGGTCCCTTCCAACTCCCAATATTCTGTGATTCTGTGATCCCATCCCTCACTCCAAGGCCTGTCTCAGGGGTGGATTTCTCCGTCATGTTTTGTCTCCCCTCTTCATGCATTGCAGAGTTTTTTACTCAGTAATAAGAGGCAGCAAGAGCTTTATTTGTCCTATATAGGGAGAAAGCAAAGCTGAACGGATGAACTCAGGAAAAGTGGTTGTTTCTTTCTTACAACACGTGGTGAGAAATATCTGTGTTAACTGGCATTGAATTATAATTACAAGATGTTCTTTGCGACACTTCATTTACTAGCAAATTAATGACTGGCCTGGATCAGCCTGCCCTTTCCGTAATTATGAAGTATAATAATTAGAGAAGCAGTATTCCAAATAATACACTTTATTGGAGCCTGAGATTTATAGAAAGACAGTCTGAGCAGCTCTGTTAATGGGAAAGTAAATTCTGCAGATGGGAGCTGGCATCAGCTTTGTCTGAATCTTCATTAGCCACGAATGCTCAGCTGCTGAGCAAGTCAAGAGCTATTTTAATTGTCCAAACAGATGTACTTTCTAATACACTTCTTGGTCTAAGAGAACATGTTGTTCCTAGAAACGAAGGACCATAATTTTACCTTCCTTGGGTTTTTCAGTAAAGTGGGGTTTTTTTAAGGCACTGTGCAGTGGTAACACACTGAAGGAGAGCTCTTAATGTGTGTTTTTTTCTCCTTAATTGTCATATAGTGGATTTAGAAAAAGATTAAGGAAGGCGAATGGCAAAGTTTTGATGTCATCAGGACACTTTGTGTTAGAAAACAGCAAACCCTAGACTATTTCTGACCAGATTTCTGACAACGGGTACCACTCAGCATTGCGTGGCTTCTCTCTGATTAAATGAAATGGCTGGCCAAGAATCTTGTTTCGTACTTGTTGCAGCTGCAAGTTAACAACTGATTATTAATTCGAATTAGTCATTACTGATGCTTCATAGGTGTAGTGCTGCACAAAGAACAGGAGGAAATGTGGACGTGTGCGGCCTTCACTTAGATCACGGTCTTCATAATTTCGATAGCGTGTTGTGAAGAAGTGGTTTCAGATACCTCTCGTAGGCTGGGCTCATCTGTTCAGAAAGAGAACATGGAAGAGAATTAATGGTAATTGAGAAGAAGGAAAAGGCTGTCATTTTTTTCTTAAGAATGAGCTCTGAAATGTAAAATGCTAGGCTATTGAAAAGGACAGAAAAAAAACCCCAAAACCCAACCAAAACGAACCAAAAGCAGCCAACCACACCAGCAGCTACTTCAGCGGTGTGCCAGATCTCTCCCTATGGTATGTGCTGTCCTTCATAACCAGTACACAATGCTCTTCCCAAATGGGACAGCATAGGACTGAACTTCACAAAATACGCCTGAACCCGAATGTTTGCTAAAGGCAAATTTTGTGTTCAGCTGTGGAATTTCAAAGGGTTGCTGATTACCGCAGTAAAAATCCCATTTAAGGCAAAATGAGCTGTCAAACAGAGCAGGATCTATTTACATCGTGCAGAATTTTGCATTACTCCACAATATGGATGAATTAAGAAGTGAAAGTAAAGTGCTAAAGACCATGAAGGATGAAATTGCCTTGTTTAACATTTATACTCTTCCTGTTTAAACATATTATTGAAAAAAATTAAGTATTGCGCTAGTAAAAGTACCAGCATATGGAGAATACCCTGCATTTAGTGGCTCTTGCAGCCATCTAGTGTTGTTCCATAAGATGTGAACTATGTAAACAGACTTCTGTTTTGGCTTATTTTGTACAGTGTTATGTCAACAGTGTAAGTTTAAAAACCAAAACCACATTGGTGGCTCCCCGGAACGAGCTTTAGTCCTGGGGCTGTAATTCACATTAGGTTAAATGTCTGAGCGAAGACTACAGGTGGCATAATTGGAGCATCACAGGTGAGTGATGAGACAGTGTATATATGAGATAGAGTAGAATTTAGAGCTCTTATGCCACTTACTTTTATCTGAGTTGCTTTTACTAAAAGAAAAGCCAACAGTTTCTGCTCTGGCTAATGCAGAAGTTGCCTGGCTGTAATCCAGCATCCGTACCTGCTTGTTGGTGGGTGCCTTCTGCGCCCACTCGTAGAGCCGTTGGTAAACCTGCCCGTCGTAGCTGCCCAGGGCAGAGTTCAGGCTCTTATCTGTGAAGTCGAAAGCATCCACGAGTGGAACAGCGTCCTTCCTGCGGAGCAGATGAGCGACAGTCAGATTAGTGAAGCAGTGCTTTGTAAGGAGGAAAAGAAGTCAAAAGTAATCATGAGAGCCAGCCGTCCAGGTTCCTCAGTCAAACCCCTGTGCCAGTTTTCCCCTTGCCTCCACTGGGGAGAAAACCCTGCTCGTTCTGGTTCCTCTGAGGCACGCTCCACTGACGGCCAGAGCAGTCTGTGCTGCTGAACGGGTATCTGTGGGGTCTTGAAATCACCTGGGGTCTGTCCCTACATCAGGACCCAATCTCATGTGAGATGTCTTCTCAGCAGACTTCGTCAGTTCTTGCTTTTGTTTTTTTGTCCTTTTGGTTTGCTCTGTGTGTTTATCTTACAAGACTGAATGAGGTTGCTGTTAGATTGATGGGAAGTGCTTTGCTGATCTCCAACCTCCATCTACTCTTAAGCATTTCTGTTACTATACCCCCTCCATTCTTGAATCCTGTTAACTGCGTATGGCCTCACCTTGACAAGCTGCAATGAATTCCAGAGACGACGACTTGTTAGGCTTTTTGAAAATGTTATCTTAAGGTTATTGTTTAACTTGAACTCTGTGATCAGCTCTGAAAATGCTTGCTGTTTGGTTATGTTTGGTTATGGTGTGTGGTGTTTCTCTCTAGGTGACTGAAGCAGAATTTTACCTGCAGTAGTAACTCATTTCCCTGCACCAGAAGTGAATCTCTTCTTAACAAACCGCACTGAGTAGTGAACGATGAGCCCTTGGTGAAACAGCCTTTGTGAGTGCTGTGGCAAGTGAAAACCTTAGCATATCTCCCAATTCCCGTAGTTAGTAGGACGTGGTGTCGAGCAGATGCATCTGACGGAGCTGTGGGCAGGATTGTTTGGGTACCAGTTGCAACTCAGCCATGGCAACAGAGTAGGCTGTATTAGCTGTGCTTTAAGCAGATTTTGCAGTCTATGATCTGTTGCTGAGGCTGCCTCCTGCCAGTGCTGCTCTGAGTACATATCTTCCTGTTTTTGCTCTACTGCAAATGGGAACTCTTGATTTCTAATTTAAGTTTTCATGTTACAGAACTCTAATTTAGAGATTGCAGAGGAGCTGGACACTTAGGCTCATTTTGTTGTGCAAATGAGCTCTGTGTAGATGTTTCAATCAATTTCTAGTGCTGCCTAGCAATGAAAATAAAACCCAAGCGAGGTGAATTGACTCTGGAGCTGTTGCCATAGGTACAGCAGCACCATTTGATATCTGTCTCAGGGACAAACTGAATAGCTGTGTATCTCCTCTCGTACTAGAGCAGCTCACCGAATGACAGGCAGGAGGTCCAGGTATGACGCTGTGACCATGTCCATTTGAGCTCCAGATACGAATCCGTCATGCAAGAAGACCCCTGCATTCGAGAAGATCCCATGCAGTGCAAAGAGGTCACAAAGATGTTTCATAATCTTCTGGATGCCAGCCTTGGTCTCGAGTCTTTCCACAGTTTCTACAAAGTTTTTCACAGTGATGTAGTGGCAGTGAGCCTGGAAAACAAATGAAATCAACAGTGAATGCACCTCTGAACGCTTTTAGTAGGCCAAGTGACTCAAATGTTCCTGCAAAGGATATAAAATCTTTTCATTTCCCTGGCACTTTTCCTGTTTGTATTTGTTTGCTGGTTGACCAGGCCTTTTGCATTCATGTCTTAGAGCAACAGCAGAGGAGAGAATTGGGGGTGTACGCAGTCAACACTGGTGTTTGTAAACTCCAGAAAACTGCTTCAGAAATCATGGTAGTACTTATTCTAAATGTTTTTGATGAATGCCTCAAAGAATCTGTGCATTGGAAACACACTGGAATGTGCTTGAGTTAATCCCTAGTAAGTGAATCGTGGTTATACATCAACAGGAGTTAACTTTTTTGTCAAAGACCTCGGGCTCACGGTATGCTGGGCTCAGTGTCTGTAGGGCTTCAGCTCTGAAAGCATCTGTTGTCATGGAAGAACCACCAAAGTTACCTCTCTTGCTTTTGTGGCTTTAAGTAAATGGGTAATTGCTGGGTCAGACACCAGGAGAGTGTCTAACTCTAACCTACAGAAATGCCAGCTGAGCCCCAGAGAACGAAGCAGGCTGACTCCACCAGGTCACGGGGGTGACTTACTGTGCTGGCATTGCTGTGGGTGGTTGGTGGTGCTGGTACCCGCGTGGGTTCACTCCCCACGTACTCCTCTCCTCCTGGCTGTGGGTGCCAGCACGGCACACCTGCACTGCAGCTCTTCCTGCCCACGGCCAAGCAGCGTGGAGGCCAGCATGGACTGAACCTGTCTGAGAAGCTGGGGGTCTGCTCAAGCAGTTAACGTGAGTGGAGGCTGCAGCAAAGCCATGCCTGGTGTCTGAGCCACTCAGAGCTGCTGTGCCACTTGTGGGGTGAGTTGCCAGGGAAGGTGTGGGATAAGAAGTAAATACAGAAGTGGCCCAAGAGGGCAGCGGGCTATCAAGGTTTTAAAGTTACAAGGGAAACTCAAGGGTTTGGGGTGACTTTTCCTCTCCTTGAAGTATCTAAGTAACTTTGGGAGCTCAGATCCTACTTTCCAAAGAGTCCAGTAGCACAGCTGCCACTGACAGTACCACAGGCAGCCCCCTGCATGTGTCAGGCTCTTCAGAGACAGTTCATTTCTGACCAGTCCTGTGTTGGGGTTCTCCTCACTTGTCAGAGAGCTGGATTCCAGCTCCTTCTCTGATGCGTGGTCTCTGCTCTTCAGTCCAGAGACCTCAGCCACCCATTTGAGTGGGTGGGTGCAGAGGGAACAGCGTCTTCAGGTCTGCGTGCAGGGAGCACTGGTCAGAGCCTTTGCCAGAGGTAACCTCAAATAGGAACATTTTGCTTACTGAAAAATGTATTTACAGTTAAATAATTATTGGAAAAGTAATTTTAAAAAGTCACTGTGTTTATAGGAGCTTTCCATGATTTTTGAGGAAACTGCACGGGTTTTCTGCTGGTTTTCAAGCTTACGGCATTGAATGCTTGCTGCTCCCAGAGTCTGTGTGATTGAAAGTGGGGGGTGATGCATGGCAAACAGGTGACCACAAAAAACGCTGCTGCAGAGATAAGTCTGCTCCCTGACTTGGTGAGCTCTTGTTTTGAAGGATTATAACCGTGCTGACCAGTGTGAGCAGATCAACGCTCCCAGTGGTGTTGAAAGGATCTCGGCTGTTGCTGAGAAAGAGTTTGACTCATCAAGGACCTCATCGAACTGACTGACTACAAAGGGGCTGCTCCTGATGTGAAATCACGAAGATGCTTTCACCACAGATAGGTACGTGTGGGGTCCCTTCTTCCCTGGCAGGGGCTTCTTGCTAAGTCCATTTCCATTTGGGCTGGCTCTGGCTGAATTGCAGATTACAGCAAGATGTTTTCTATTTAAAAATGAATGAAGTTAAAATAAGCCATGGATCTGTTTCAAAATCTTCCTCAGTTTAGGAAGGAAGGAAGGAAGGAAGGAAGACTTTCACCATAATTGTAGAGGAATGGCACTTAATTGCATTAAAAAAAAAGAATGTTGTTTGTGGGGTTTTTTTGTTAAAATTTAGGGCTTTTCTCCCTTCTTGCTTGCTTTTCTGCTTAGTTCTGTACTAACTCCTGTTTTGGGGAACGAATGCTGCTGTCCTGATGCCATTTCAGCTGATGGCATGCTGCTTGCCTAATCCATATGAACTGGGAGCTGGTTTTGTGTCTGTTATTAATTTGACTTGCCTGATTTGATTTTTTCTTTCAGCAGTCATTAACATTATCACTGCTTTTCCCTGCAGCTGTCTTTCCTTGTGAGAGCGGTGGATGTAAGCACACCAGGCATGTTCCACCCTTGCTGTGACTCCACCAGTTCTCAGTGGGGGGGCTCTGAGGAGGTTTTCATCTGGGAGCCAGAAATGCCAGAAAACCACTAATGCTTTTTTTCCCTCCCTTTCATTTCTAGTCCCTCTCATCTTTTTCTACCTGGGCTATTCAGACGGCAAATTCTACAGATCAGGAACTGCTTCTTACTACGATTTTTCCACCATGCAGGCCGCAGTGGTGTCCCGGTCATTGTGGTGTCCCGTAGATGCTAACAGAAAGCAATAAACAGCACTGACACTTGAAGCTAACAGTGCCATTTCTGTTGCATGTTGTACCATAAAGACAAATGTTAAATAAGCAGATAAATTTTGCCAACCTTCGCTGCCTGCACCAGCTGCACCGTGCACTGGTTCCACGCGTCGTGCTTTTTGGCTCCAGACTGAATCATGTCCTGTAGTTTAGTTGCTGCGCTGCTGATCAGTCTGGAAAATGGAAAAAGCACATTTGTATGAATGTAGCAGCCCATGTGCACTCGTTTCATACCGAGACTCACGTGTGACCGTATGGCAACACGGCATTTCAGACACGTGAATTTATCTACGCGCGGTACGAGTGAAGTTAGGTTATGCAAAAATCTAAGTACAAATTGGGAGAAGCACCCAGACCACCCTGGCACTGAAGGGTTTTTGCCTTCTCAGCTCCTGGGGTAATTTACCAGGGGCCTGCTGAGGTTTTCTTGGGTTTGTAAGGAGAGTTTGTGAACCGAAATAAAGTGGTGATAATACTGGACTGATGTTACATTATGTTTCTACTTAGCCAAAAAGGGATCCAAGTCCTGCTCCCATTGACACTGAAGCTTTTGGAAGAATGGTTCTGTTTTCACGGCGATTGAATGGCAGCAGGGCTATCTGTTTACCTGCTTTTCAGAGATGACACCTACATGGCCTATAAATGTGTACATAACCGTAATGAGATGCCCATGATACCATTTTTATTTGCCTTTAATAGCTGCGTGTGTAGTTTAAAGGCTACAGACAGAATGAGAGGTTTGCTGTGGTATTAACTGAAAACAAACATCGGTTTCTCAGGTATGTGAAACGTTAACGTTCTGTATAGAGTTGCACAGGGTCCCGCTGCCTAAAGGTTTTACTGGATGGCAACTCAGTGATGTGGTCTGGGATTTACTGAAATGGTGCCATCCGCTTGGTATAAAATCAACTCTACAGAAAATAGCTGTTAGGCAGCGTGTGCCTTAAAAACTTGTGGTGTTCTGAATGTGAAAGTTTCCTGTTGAACATCTGACATGGCTGTTAATCCTGTGTGAGTCTGCCTTTTCTCCTTCAGGAGCAGATGGTGCCAATTCTTGTGTAACTTAATGTTATTGTGCCTCCCTTTAAAGCAAGGAAGAAGCTGAGCTCTTCACACATTCCTGATGTCAAAGAGAAAAAAACCCCGTCTCCCATCCTCCGTGCTGACCTGACTGCCGTGTGCTGATAGGCCTCGAGGTAAATATCTGGACGGAGAAAATCCAACTTGTTCTTGGCTGGACACTTGCCGGGTTTGGCTGCAGCCAGATAAGTGACAGACGGTGGCACGGGCTGGCCAGCTCTGGCTGCCATGAAGCACTTGATCAGGAACCTGGGAAGAGGGCGACAGTCAGAGCAGGGGATGGTTGTGATGCCCACGCAGCACATGGGCGTGTGACAAGTGAGGCGGGCTCTGGTGAGGAGCAGCAAGGGGTGACCCATCCCTTGGTGGTCCAGGATGGACTGGAACAAGTAACGAGCTTCTGTTTTGTGTGTTATTTGCAATAACCTGATGTGTGATGGGCCCCAGGGGAAGCCTGTATACTGTATTTAGTGCTACAGCAATCTGTAGTGGTGAATTTTTAGGAAGAAACATACTGTGACTATTAGTAGTCTCAGCAGCATGGTGATGAGAGATGTTATAAACTTTGCAGCCTGAGTCTTAATGCTCTGGGAGTCTTAATGGTGGTTTGGTCACCCTCTGTGATCCCCAACACAGAGACACATTATGTTAACGAACACGAGACCCTTTCTTGGAGCTAAACATGTCCAAGGAGCATTCCCCACCCTCTGATTTGTTTGGCACCTCCAGGGCTGGAAGTAAAAGGTTACAGCATTTCTCGTGACCTTGCCATTGATCTTGCAAGCAGCAGCCGGGGTGCAGAGGTGTCTGCGCGCAAGCACAGAGCTACGTGGTAGCACCTCTGTCTGTGGGAAAGGTACTGGTTTCCTCCTTCTAGTAAAAACACACGTTATTAAAAGTTCAAGCAGCTGTGGTTTCTTTCTCCTGCGTTTCATCTACTCTGAATAATCATCAACTTGTGTGTTGGGAGGAAAGTGGTGTTCTTGGAGCATGACTCATCCGCTTTCAGTATCCAACAACTTTGCCTTCTCTGAACCAACCTCGCTTTACCGATATCACGTTACATTGGCTGCTTAGAAAAATAAACTGCAAAACTTGTATAGCAGTGCCTTTGCTGCTCTACCAGGCAAAGAGGAAAATGTGGTTATGCAGAACAGCACCTGCATACATCCCCAAACCAAAAAAAATGAGAAGAGAGAATCCAATTCCCACACACCTCCGTGTCTGTTAGACAGAAGACATGAGTCGTTTCTGACCTGAGCTGTATTTTTAGCAGGTGCTGTAAGGAGTAACTGGTTTTACTGGTTGTGGAGAAGTGGTAGAGGTTGAATAAATGAGGAGGCAGGCTTTTAGATGAACAGATTTGAATTGTTACCTGGCAGTTTGGAGGAGCAAAATGGTGTTTTCCCCTTCATAAATACAAGAGGCAAGTATTTTAGTGTACAGGGAAGGGAGTCCGCTCAGCAAGGAGTAGCCATGTCCCCCGCACGCCCGGAGGCAGATCTCCACTGCTGCAGTGGAGTGCTGAGTAATCATGGCTTTAAAGCCTGAAGAAAATGCGTGGAGCTGTTAAAAAAAACCCAAAAAGACAGCGTTAATGGTGAACGCGTTCTAAAGCAATCTCCAGAATAAATTTCCTTTTTAAAATTTGTGCAATTTCTGGCCATGAGATCCCTGTCAGATCCTCCTTTGCACGCTGGTGTAGCACTCAGCTCTCTAAGCCTGGCCTGGGTTTCTGCCTGGGATGCTGCACACCCTCGTGCTGGCCACGCTGGGGTTGGTTTATGCGTTTTTGTGTTTCTCTTAACCAGCAGTGGCTTGGGCAGCCCTGGTTCAGAGGGTGTTTTCGTTTCGGGCTTCCAGTTGCAACATCCTATGTTCTAGCTACAAAAGTCACATTTTTGGTTTTGGCTCAGGAGTATTTGCGTGTGCATTTGTAGATGACGTTGTGAAATAACACTTTGCGCCACCAGCTACTTGGAACAAGGTTTTTATCAAATGCTCATCTATTCAAGGACTTTTTATTCCGCAATAGTTCCCAGAATGAACAAATGCTGTTGCTGGTTGTGGACCTAGGATACACCATTTGGTCTCTTGGTGCTTCCCCTTTCTCCAGTCAGCTAGTGGGGAAAGGAATGATGTCCAGTTTGCTAAAATACTTTGGTATTTAGGGATGAGAAGTGCTGTACAAGCTAATAGCGCTGCAGCTTACCTCTGGCAGCGTGTCGAAGTTCTTCCTCTGGATCTCCCTGTACCCCCGGTCAAACAGCTCCTGCAGGTAGTTGTTGATGAAATGGAAGGCATAGGCTGTTGCCAACTGGGGCAGCAGTTTCTCTTGCTGAGTCTGGTAGTCCAGGATTTTTGCTTCTTGTTCCCTGTTAGAAGACAGCAGATAAAGCAGGGAAAGTGTGGACGTAGGCGTAGCTACTGTTAGTTTACCTGTCACATAATGAAAACCGATGTTTTCCATTACCAAGAAGCAGTATAAGAACAGGACTGAGCTGATGTCAGATCTGCCCAGCTTGCTGAGCTGTCAGAGAAACAAGCCCAACTGGGGAAAAAAGTGATTTTTCTGCTTTGTTGGTGAACCAGAGTAGAACAGGCTCGGTGTGATCGGTCAGTACAGAGGGGAACAGGGACTGCAGAGAGGATGAGGATGAAACCTTCAAGGACACGAAGTCGTGAGGTGTTACAGGGGAAGTGGTGGCTTTTGCTTTTCAAACTGGGTCTTTGTGGCTCTGGGTGTAGATAGGTATCTCTGAAAACATCTGAGTCTAAATTATTTTAGGCTTTCTGAGGTTTTTTAATGTTCTTTACCATTTTTGCTGTTGTTAGTACATTTATGACTTCAAGTGATGGAGCTGGTTATTACAATAGTTCAGCATGCTGTGCTCTGGTGTTTGGTTTGCCTTTCAACCAAACCACATTCTCAGTAGGATCTTCTTGCTTTTGAAGGGAGATTTAAGTGGAAATTTTTGACATCCATTCAATTGAAAAGAACTATTTTAAAATTACAGGGATTCTTACCAGACTAATAAAATTCACTGCTGTAAAGTATGGGTATTGGAATTGTGGATGTTGGAACGTATTTTAGTAGGATGCTATGGAATAAGAATTAAGCAACTTGTCCGCTTTGTCTGGGTTCTGCTGAGTTATGGGGTTGATTACATGGGAAGGCCAGTTACAAGAAAAGTAAGTTGCCTGGGTGAACCGCTGAGCTATTCAAACCATGAAACTTATCTCAGAAAGAACTGTAAACATGCTCTTGTACTTTGATTGAAGCTCGTTAATGTAAATAACGGGGAAGCATGTTTGTAATACCCAGGAAATAGCCAGAGCTGTGCTGAAAAATAAGATGAAAAGTAGAAATAGATTGGGGTGGGGGAAGATGGTGTACGATCCCCTGCCCACCGCTGCGGACTTGCGTGGCATTACCCAGGCTTTAGCTTGGACTGCCGGCGAACCACGGAGTATCGGATGGCGATGGTGCAAGCTTTCATGAGAGGCAGTATAACTTCATCTGAAAGGAGGGAAATGCGCACTGTAGTCATCGTGAAATAATTAATCTTCTGTGAGCCCCGTCTTACATAGGAGCCATCTGGTTGAACCTAGAACATAGAGAAATGATGTTAGGTACTGCCTTCTTCAGTATTTCAGTACTATTGATGGTTGTGTAATCTCCATGCATAGAATAAAATGGACATCGAAATCCTTCATTGAATGCAAAACTAAGTATTTTTATCTGTTATGGATGAAACATATTCATCTGAAGAGCCAAACTCTTACTGCTTCTGGCTTAGATAGGTTCTGCCTGCCTCGTGATCCCCATCCTCTGAACGTGGAATTCCCGACACCGAGTTTCATTTCTGATTCAGGTAACTTCTGCCCTTGATAAAACTGCAGAGACTTGCGGACACCTCAAAGGAAGGTTTTTGTCCTAAATTTAGGCAGGTCCCTGTTGTCTCTCTGGCTGTGCAACGAGAGTCTGACGGGCGCGTCTGCGATGTGAGTCTGTACGTACCTCGCAAAACTTGCTCAGCATGTTCTCCCTGGGGACGCGCACGTTCTGCAGCATGAGGTAGCCGTTGTCAATGTGCTCAAAACTCATTTTGGGACCGATGTCTCCTGCAGTTATGCCTGCAGTGGGAAAAAACAGGGCCTGCTTACTTCCACTTGAACTTTTCTCTCCCCATGTTGCAGCAGGCCGGGGATCTCAAAGGAAAGGTGCATTCTGCTCTGCTTTTTCCCCAGCATGGGTGATCTTGCCTGAGGGGTGAAACGGGCATTTGAATGCTTCATGGTTTTGCTGGGATCCATCTGTTACTGGTGTTGGCTGGGGTCAGAACTGAGGTGTTAATGTGGAGGTGGGCAGAGCAGCCCAGGCTTCAGGGGCTGGGGTTAATGATAGCTATGCCATGGGTATCTGCCTTGGTTTGGTTGTGGCAATTACAATTCTCTGTGCTTACTCTCCCTGGGCCCAATGCTTTAGAAAATATTTAAGGGCAAAATAGGCAGAGCACCTGCACAAGTGCTGCTGTGTCTGGAGTCGTTTACCTGGGCAGAGCGAGTGGTCCTGAAGGCTGCGTATCTGCACGATGAAGGGATGCACGCCGTAGCACTTCCCGTGGACGTACAGCTGAGCAAAGACCACCGTGTGGGTTGCTGACCTTCCCACTGCGAGAGGAAAGACAGCCCCATTCCCTTAGACAAGGTACAGCACAAACACCCCCAGGTTAACAGCAGTCGATGCTGGATGTGCATTAGGTCTCGCTAACGTATGGGTCAGGGTAGGTGTGAGCCACAGGTGCTGGAAGCTGGAAATTGCCTAAATCTGTTCTCTGAGCCTGCTCTTCACTCTCAGAAGCTGCATCATCCTTCTGTCACTGCCCGCGAGGCTTGGATGAATGGTTTGCACCAGCAGATGAGGAAAAATAAGCAGTTAAAGTCCATGCAGTGCTGAGAGAGTGGGAAGTGCTGTGGCTGTTGGAGTAACTCCAGTTATTTGCTGTGAAAAAACTTCCTGAAGGGAGCCATGAATTTCACACTCAAATCTTTTATGCCGAGACTGGCTGACGACTTGAATCCTTTATGCTGACGACCTCCCTGCGGTTTTTGGTTGTATGAGTATTATTTACACAGAAGAGCAGATTGATTCCTGAAGAGGCATGAGTTTCCCTGAGCAAAGTCCTCCAGCCCTGCCACCCAAGGGCTTTTGATAGATGCTGGTGGCTCCCTTCCGGCCTTTGAACTTGTACAAAACCCTTTGGTCTCTTACTTGTCTCTCAGTGTGCACATATCTGAAGTCCTCTGCTAGCACCTGGGCCCTCAAACACGGAGCTTGCACAGGGCAGACTGAGTAACTGAAGGAGGTGAGTGTGGAAAACCAAAATATTGTGTGTAGTACTTACAGTCTCCAGGCCACCACTTCATGGCAGAGATCTTTGGTGTGTTCAGAATAAATTCCTGCTTAGTCATATCAAAGACTGCTGTTGTTTCCAAACCCTGAAGATAAGTTCCTTTTAAAAAAATAAAATAAAATAAAATAAAAT